GCCCTCTGGGCAGCCCGGCCGCCGGTGTCTAGTTTCCGACGGAGAAAGTCACCCTGAGGGGGAGGAACGCGCCGCGCTCACATCGCTAAGGAGAGAGGCTCTGGGCCAGAGTGTAAATTCTGAATTAAGACCGGGAGCCGGCAGTCACAGCCCGTCTCCTTCTCTCTTAGGAATCCTGATTATTTCACTGAGAAGCCTCCCTCCCCGCGGGAAGCCTGGCCCCTGTGATAGTGGGTTTGCAGGTTGCTGTGGGTTCGGGAGATAAGCCAGAGCGCACAGGCCGCTGCAGGCCGAGTGGGACGGCGATGGCGGCGGAGGGTCTGGACCGGCCCTGCCGGCACATTTGTTCCCCGCTCGCCCAGAGCGCGCACAGAAAGGAAATGGCTCTGGAGACGGGGTGCGTGGAGGGGGGAGGGGGGTGCCAGGCGCAGGGGGCAGCCGGCTGCCGCTCATCTGCTCGCCCCTGTTGTGAAACATGACAATATTTTAACAGACCAAGGCAGACCAAATGTGGGCACGCTGCTGCCGTCTGCCTTCATTTACCAGAAAGTCTGAGGCGATTCAGACTCCCGCTACCCCCCTAGGCCTGCTTCCAGCCGCAGGACACAGATTCTGGCAGCTGAGCTGCGTGCAGTATATCCTAGAAAACAACTCATTTCTTAGGTGCCATGAAGGTGCCTGGCCCACCCATCCCCGGCCCAACGTATTCTGTTAGCATCCACCTGTCTGTTAAGCATCGTCCATTAAGCTAATTGCCTGCCACTCATTCCAACTTTGCTCCCATTTTTTCTCAGCTGTTGGGCTGGGTGATCATGTTATTATCTTATATTCTCACTTGGATCTTCGCTATAAAGACTCTGCTTTGACTTGGCTTTCCATCCTGCAGTTTGAACCTGCTTTCTGAATCTGTTGCATTCCTGGGAAGCTACGTGCAACATGAACTTTGGAATCCTGGTTTCCAACGACTAGACGGCCCTTCCCTCAGTAATAATTTTGGCCCAAGGATGGCTATTTAAGACAGCATAAGAATGAAACTACTTTCTTCAAGAAGTATTTGTTCTGATCTAGCCTGTTTTGCTCAGTGGATAGAGCGTCGGCCCACAGACTGAAGGGTCCCGGGTTCGATTCCAGTCAAGGGCGTACCTCAGTTGCAGGCTCCATCCCTGGCCCCGGTCAGGCGTGCAGAAGGCAACCCATCGATGTGACTCTCACATCAATGTTTCTCTCTCTCTGTCTCTCCCCTCCCTCTACTCTCTAAAAAAATCAATGGGAAAATATCCTTGGGTAACGATTAACAACAAAAAAGAGAAGTTTTTGTTCTGTTGCTATTCCAAAACTTCTAAAAGAAATGTTTAGCATACAGATGATCTGTGGAGAATGATTTAAAATAGTGTCCATAAAATAAAATAAAAAAAGTCATGGGTTCTTTTAACTATGCGCAAATGTACCATTTTGGCTGGGGTCAGTTATCACATCCTCAGGGAAACCGTTCTCAGTCTGTTATTCTTTATCTGAAATCTTGTTAAGCTCAAAGAATGCAGGCGGCTTTTAGGACGCGCTCAGTCAGTCTGTGAAGGGAAGATGCCCTGCAGCACCGCTAACGGTCTCCCCGGCCTGGACCGCCTGCTCTTTTAGTCGTGGCTGCTGGCTAGGAAACACGTAACAGATCCCAAACCACATATTTCCCCAGAGCCAGACGTGCTGCTTCCTCTCCGGAGCCTCCAGTTACACATCGTCTCCCACACCAGCAGCTCCTGTCGGCCGTGGGGAGGGCTGGTCTTTGTCTTCCCTTTTTCTCCCCAGGGTCTGGTGGCACTCGCTGAGTGTAGTTATCCCTTCCTCGGAATCTGGATTTGCCAGTTTTCACGTTGACACCTCCGGAATTGTCCCTAATAAATGTTCATGTACTTCAAATCTTGCTTAATTAAGGGAGGAAAATGACCTTTATTAAGCTAGTCTTGAATTCATTGCACCTTCTTCCAAGGGAGTTTTGTCATTTCTCCTAGAATTTAATGTAGTTCTCTTTAATCACAGCAATAATAGTAGCTAATAATTTTTAAGCACTTACCATATGTCAGACACTACGCAGAGCATTTTACATGGACTTTCTCACTCAGTCTTCACAACAACCTTAGTGTTATTTTTACTATCTCCATTTTGCCAGTGGGGAACTGACGTACTAGCCAGTTAATGAGCCTGAACATGAACCTTGGTAGTAACAGCTGCCTCTAGAATGAATTGTCAATATTAGGGTAACTGTCTATGTAGGGAGCTCACTAATGACTTCCTGTCCCTGAGTACACTGCTGTGTTTCCAGGCTCCAGAGAAGGAGGAATTCCTGGCCTGGCAGCACGATCTGGAAGTGAACGACAAAGCTCCTGCCCAGGCTCGGCCCACTGTCTTCCGCTGGACGGGGGGCGGCAAGGAAGTGTACTTATCTGGGTCCTTCAACAACTGGAGTAAACTTCCGCTCACACGAAGGTAATTGCCTGGGCGGGTTCACGTATTGTCTCAGCTCAGGGATGCTCTTGTTCCTGAACGATCTCTGCTGGTGAATAGAAAGGGATGTTTTTATAATATGAATGCTGAATGGAAGAATAATCTTGCTTAATAATTCATAGGTTCCATTCTCACACCCACATGTCCAGGTTTAGAGCACACGTAGTTACGAGCATTGCTTCCACTTCACATATTCAGCTGTGTGTTTGCTCAGGCAGGATTCTCGGAAAGAGAAATCGATTCGTAGTGCTGTAGAGAAAGCACCAGGCTGGGAATTTCGAGACCGGACTTGAGAACACATTGGCTGGGCTAACCTGTCATTAATGCCTGAGCCTCAGCGTTCCTATCTGTAAGAAGGGACTGTTGCATCGGATGATCTCTGAGGTTCCTTCTAACTTGGATTCTCTGTGTGTTACTTTTGTTTGAAAGGTACATGCTATGTAGCATCATTAACAAGACCACAGTAAACTAGTTCATCAGGAACCCTAGCATGGACTTTTGTCTCAAAGTGTCAGTGAAAGCATCTTCCCTGGGGGTACTCCTGATGAAGCCGAGGGAGAAACGTGTCCTGCGTGGCCAGGCCTTGTCATTGTCAGGGAGCCACCTACCTTTCCAGGGGTGATAGTGGTGTAGGAGGGAGCTGCTGGGCACAGTGACAAGTTGCTTCAAGTCGGGAACAAAACAGGTTTTCTGGGACCTTTTTAATAGTGATGCTTCTTCAGAGAACTTTTGCCTCCTATTAAATTGCTCCCCTTCCCTGCCCCTAGCAAACTGACAAAGGGTAAAGCTTGGCTGCAGGCTGTTGCATCCTCCTTGGCATCTAGGCTGCCAGGTGTTTTGTGTGCACATTGAGAAGGACAAATGCCTGTCAGGCGACCTTCTGAGCAAAGTGAGTTTTTAATAAAACGTTGCATCCCTGCTTCCTTGACCATTTCTAGATTAAGATCTATGTATTGAATTGGTTAAAAATGTTTATACTCCTGCAGCTGAAGTCTTGGTTTTACATGGGAAGGTTTTGTTTTGTTCTATGGCTGGCTTTGTAAGTAAGCTCAGAAGGCAGCCCACCCAGCTGAAAACCTCTGCTTCCTTTTCCTCGTAGCCATAACAACTTTGTAGCCATCCTGGACCTGCCGGAAGGAGAGCATCAGTACAAATTCTATGTGGATGGTCAGTGGACACACGACCCTTCTGAGGTACTCCCCCCGCCCTCCGTCCTCTGACTGCCGCACAATCCAAATGAGTCACCTTCCCTTCTAGACTCCTGCCAGGTCCCTTTGTCCTGCCGGTAAAAGTCCCTGTGTGTGGCTGAGCTAGATAAGTGCTAATTGTCAGATTACTGGCATACTTGACCAAGAGGAGCAGGTTGGCTAGACAAGAGCTGAGCCCTTCCAGCCAAGAATTCTAAATCCTCTAAGAATAACCCCAGAGACCTTCCCCATTATGATTTCTGCCTGTCTGTCTCTTCCCAGCCAGTAGTAACCAGCCAGCTTGGCACAGTTAACAACATCATTCAAGTGAAGAAAACTGACTTTGAAGTGTTTGATGCTTTAATGGTGGATTCCCAAAAGTGCTCCGATGTGTCTGGTATGAACACAGTTCTTTTATACCACGTGTGTGTAGGTGGGGGCTGGACAGCATAGAAATCCTCTGTTTCCCTCTCCTCTCTCTCTTGAGTCAAGCTGCCCAACCGGGTGGACGTTTGCAGCTCCCTAAAGAGCCACATAATGAATTCCTAACTCTTTGGGGTCAGGTGGCTGAAATCAGCCCCGAGGGAGCAGTCAGTCATTGGGGGCACATCTCCAGGATTCAGTAGGTCTGTTGGCCACAGAGATCAGAGAATTGAAACAGAATCAAAAGGCCTGGGAGCCTGGCCTCGGGCCAGTGATGA